GGATGGAGGTGGGGGATGGGAGGGGTATGGGGGGACAATAACAACTTCAGTAGCAATGATGCAAGAGTTGACAGGGAAGAGCTGGCAGCTGGCGTACAGTTCAGTGGTAGACTGCTTGCCTAGCATGCACAAGTCCCTGGGTTCAATTCTTATCACTGAACATAACATGAAAGTGAAAATAAATGAAACATACTTCCTGAGCAAACTGTTCCTGCACTATCCTAAAGCAAAGCAAATGGTTATATTATTCCACTACTCTCAATAGATCAAACACAACATGTCATTCAAAATTGTTTAGTTGGCCAGGTGCTGGTAGCTCATGCCTGTAATGCTTGCTATTTAGGAAGCTGAGATCTGAGGATAACAGTTGGAAGCCAACCTGAACAGGAAAATTTAGGAGACTCTTATCTCCATTCAGCCACCAAAAGACTAGAAATGGAGGTATGGTTCAAGTGGTAGAGTGCAACCCTGAGTGTAAATAGCAAAGCAAGAGTGAAAGGCTCTGAGTTCAAACCCTGGTACTGCCTGCTCTTCCCCAGACGTTTAGTATATTTGCAGCAAAATAAAATCAAGCAATAATCCAAGCAATACTCAGTTCTCTGTTCATCCTTTTCTCCTGATTGACAGGAGAAAGATTCATGAAGTAAAACTGTAGCATCTAAGATGGTGAAATTTAGTTCCCACACTTGTACCAAGCCAAGTGGTTCTAAGATGAGCTCCAGAAACTGCAGAAAGTCAACTAACAAGACAAGACAGGTTTGAATGACTTAACTGGCATAAAATGCTCTTCTGCATCCATCTACTCCCAAGAAAGACCTGAAATGCAACAGAATACCAATCTGATATATTCCATCTCCTCAGCAAAATGATCTGCTGAGACTCAGAGATAAAAATGAGCCAAGGATGTAGGTCAGCCAAAGTAATGAGGGGCTTTTGATGAAAGGGTTCAGAGGAATGATAGTTTCCAGAGAGTTAGAACTTTGGGTCCCCTGACACAAAATTACTACATAAAAGAATTCCTGTGTATTTGAATCTTCTATATTTGGATGGTAATCTATGATGGTTTGAAGGCATTACCAGATTCAATTTACCCATGCATTAAATAAGGGTTAGTCCTTCCTGGCAAAATGAAGTGCTTTTTTTTTTTTTTTTTTTAAGAGTCAATTGTTTAAGAAATCTGCCTAACATATCAAGATAATGGAAAATAGTTAGACTTTATTTCCTTCCTTCCACCTGCTTGAATCCATTTGTACATTCCCAGTAAGGCTCTGAATCCCAAAATGGAACTTACCTGATCACTGGAACACAAGCAATCAATCTAAATCACACTAGAACTGTAGAAATATAGACAGAAATTGCATGATCATGCACAACTTAAGGATGCCTGTGCCCAACATAGTTGATGATAAAGGCCTTTGGCCTCCTTCGATGGGCCTACTACACTCTAAAGAAAGTCCAACTTTACATAAGCTATGTTCTTCTGAGATTTATCTGAAATAAAGAGTAAAACACATACTCTTCCTAAAATAGCTGTGACTGGTATCGGTAACAATTTAAGAGGGGGGAAAAATCACCTTTCTAGGATTGTAAATGATTCAGGGCATTCATTGATTCAGGTTAGGACTTCTTTTTGAAGATAAGAATGAACTGTTCATTCCAAACACAATATTTGAAGTATACATACTTTACCGAGATAGGATTTCCATTCTGAATTTTGCTCTGTAGATCTGGTCATTTATACCTAAAGCTAAAAGGAAGGTCAACCCAATCTATACCATGAAAAAATAACTTTTCTCATAGCTGATATCTTTTTTGTGTTTTCTTTCTATTAAAGTTTAACTCTCCCTCAGAAAAATACTTTTTCCTAGAAGTGTTTCAGTGAGAGTTGACTTGAAACTTAAAAAAGAATTTGACTTGTGACCTTAAACATGGAAGAATTAGTGATCACCCCTCCACCATTCTCTCACAACAACAATCAACAAAACATGATTTATCTTCCTCTCCACATATAGAAAGTGTGAAATATAAAATATTCCATAAAAGGAAAACAAAACTAAATGGAAGAGAAATTAAGAAACAAATGGTCAAGGGTGAATCTCAAACTAAAAAATGAATAATTGTACATCATCACTATAATAAAAAATGCATGTTAAGTGGGAAAAATGAATAAAATGATACAAATACACACACAAGTAAGTTATATACTCAGAAAAAAATCTTTTATTAAAGTAACAATAGGAAATTGATTCAGGGCAAATTTTCAGTATTCACATTGGGAGTTTTCAGGAATGGTAAGAATTCCCACATTAGAGTCATCCATGGGAATTAGTTTTAATAGAAGAATGATTATCTTCTCTTCCATAGATTCCAAGAATAGCAAATTATGTATTTATAAACTCGGTTGTTTTACATGCTCCATAAATCAATTTTCTATTGAGTGTAGTCTGAAATTAAACTGATGAGTAATTAGTAGTTGCCACTTCGTTTTGGAATATTCTGTGTGCATTGTGAAGTTTCACACTGGTTATTTTCTAACAAGTCGTTTTGCTTTCAAATGTCCCAAGGCTAGTTGTTGAGCCCAAACATAAACTTAGTTAAAAAAATTTTTAAAGTATTCCAAGAAGTCTTCAACACACAAGATCATGAGGACTCTAAACTTAATATATGTCACATTGCATTCTCTCTAATTTTAGAGTCTTTTCTCTCATTTACTTACTAGTTTTTATATTGTATTTCTTATTGTGACAAATCCTAATGTCCAGGAAAATACCTAATATATTAATCATAGAAGACTTTGCATATATATTCTGGTCAGTCTCGTAGGGTATTTCTACAAAGATTTACGATTGAAACTCATAATAGAACTATGCTTTGCTCAGATATTTGACAAAGAAGTATAAGTTTGATAATCATGTTTATATGGGGTGGTACTATACTCAATAAAAACTGACTTGAAAGTGAAAATGCCTTAGGTGTATACATGCCATGAACAATTTATCAATGTCATTCATTATTTGGCAATGTATTGTCTTCTCCAAATGAAGCATAATTTATAGAACTGAAGTAAAACAGCAGTTATATGGGCAAATGTATGTATTCATATTTATTAAAAGAATATGAATATGAAATAATTATGCCTATAAGAGTGAACAATTTCAGGAAAAGACTTCTTTGGGGAGGAGAATGTGCTTGTGTTGTGGAAACTGTACTAATATAAGCACACACAGTAAGCATTATCAGGTAGAGGAGTCGCCTACTAGGGTCATTTGCAAAAGGCCTATTACTAAAGTCACTGAAAATCAAACATTACTTGGGAACAGATCAACTTTCTTGTTGCTCTGCTTTGGGTGTAAATGAGGCACAAGTCTCAGCTTTCTTTTTGTCAATAGAGATGCTTTTGGTTCAGGGTAAACTGTTTTCAATGAAGAGACCAGGATGCAATCAATTCTATCTATTCATTCAAAGAAAAGAGATAAAATTAAATCTGGAAGTTAATTCATTTTTCTTTTTTTCTGTTAAGTTTCAAATTGTTTATTTATGGTGCACTTTGCAAATTTCTTTCCAGGAAATATTATAATGATGCATTCTCAGAGCAATATCTCATAGATTAAGTGTTTATTAGCTACCTACCAATATATTCCTTTGAATATCTAAGAGCAAATTTAAATAAATTCCATACTTGCTCAACATACAAGAATTCCTTGGCCAAATTAGTCCTTTTTAGTTAATTTATAAACCAGGGGTAAAATGTAGCAAACAGATAATATTTATAGGAAAAATTTTAGGTTCTATATTATAATTTTAGAGACACTTTAAAGTTTATTGATTAAATATGAATAAATCTAACATAAATCTAAGCTCTAAGAAAAAGTTAAATTTAAATATGAGAGAAATATAATCTTTCAACTGTGTTCAAAACTGTTAAAAATAAAATAGAACCCATAGTTACTTCCTAAATAAATGGTTATATAATATGGTTAGTGGCTACAGTCACAGGAGACACACATAACATTAGTCCCCACCCCTGCCCCAAAATGAGAATAGTCTTTTTTTAACAAATACTTTAAATGGTATATTTCTAAAAACATCAAAAATGTATTTCTAATTTTTGAACTTTTGTTGTCACCTAATATATATGCCTACAAATAAAATGTAAATTCTCCCAATTTTTTATAAAACCAAAGAAAGTAACTTTATATTCACCTTCACTTTTCTATACTTACAGTGAACCTGAGATGTTTCCTGTTTGCTCATATGAAATTATTTTAGACTGTAATTTAAAATTGGCTCAGAACAACACTGAACACAAAATATCATTGGGTTCTATTCTGTGTTTTCAAATATGCATTTTTCAAATTTCTCCTTGCCCAACTTAGGTAATGACACTTCATGGAAAGGGTCTTGAGATTATGGTAGACTCTATTGCTGCTTTATTATAAATCAAACAGTATACTTTATTATTACATTGAAAGTTCTAAATTTCATTAAACATTTTTGCCAGTGTCTCATAATTGAACATACTTTTAATTATCATCCATTTTGGCAAAGTACTTGATTTTATTGATTTGGAGAACTTAGTTTGTAGTAGTCATGTAAATAAGCATAATTTGAATGAATCTCTATTATTTTACAGAGGAAATTCCAAAAACAAAGCCACCATCAGCCAAAATCAACAGCTCTGACTTGTTTTACCTGTTTCCTGATTGGTACAGATGTTAATTATTTCATTTCCACCACTCCCCCAATCCCCTCACCTCTTCCCTTCTCATCCCTCCAGCCTCTTTTTAAAGACCATATTATTTGGTGGGGCTTTTTGTTTGTTCAAAACACTCTATTTTTGTGTATGCTAAACATCAACATAGAAAAATGGTTAGCTGTTATCTAATGTGAAAAGTTGGAAATTCATGTGGGCAGACACTGAGGTGTAGATTTAGAATGAGGACATCACAGGGAGGTAGCTGCAGTCATTGACTAAGTTAGGAGATCTTGGGAATTCTCACCTTTTGAGCTGCTTTAGAGGGACTCTTGTTTTTGCTGCCTTTAGGTCTTCCCCTGGGTCTCTTAGGAGAGGGCTCACAAGTTGGCTCCTAATTGTGGAGGGAGAAAAAAAAAATGATGTTGTGGCAAGATGGTCTGAAAGAAATTGACCCTGACTCTTTAGCTGTATTTTCAGCATGGGCTGCTCAACAGAGCTATTAGAGTCTATTCATTCAGTTCCCAAATAGATGGATGGTGAGAATAGGGTTTACAGAAAGGGGAAACGACCATATATTTTCAATCCAAAAGTCCAAAGCGGAAACTATTTTACAAACAAAAACTAGATTCCAGGGTAAAAGTAAACTGATAGCAAAGTGTGAAAACGTTGCATGAGAAAGTCATATATACATAATTTTAATATAAAGTTTACATGATATGCATTTGGCAATTTATAGAACACTCCTTTTTTTGTAAAAATGCTAACTATCGTTTCAAACAGGACTAGAATCTTAACATCGTAGATGTTTCAACAAACTTCCATATTGAAAAGATGGCTGTCCATTATCACTTATATCCACATTCTGGGTCGATTAAGACTCAATCGACACTTTCTGAGTGAAATATTGGAGCAATTATCCAACTTTTGGGTTCAAAATAGCTACAGTCCCCTCTAAAATCTCCAAATAATTATGGTAAATCTGAGGTGGGAGGTTTTGCTTGAATTATCTAGATAATTGCTTCAATTCTCCACTTCCTTTTGGAGAGGGAGGCATGGTCTCTAGTCGAAATTTAAATATCTTTTTACAAAAATAAACATTTTTTCAAAGCTTTCTCTTAAAGAAAACTCTTATGTGGGGGAAGTGCACTGAAGGAAAACTTCAGTGTTAAGTGTGTGTATGCGGGGGTGAAAGTTATCTGGGAGGAGAAATTGCAAAACCCAAAGGTTTAGCAGTTTTCAAATGGCTCCCAGGCCAAACAGTAAATGTCCAAGTGGTTAAGAAAACGTGATGTTTAATATGACAGATCCTAAATATTTATCCCGTGAATCGTCTACTCACATTTCATTCAGATTTGGAGATTAAACGAGACTAATTAAAACGCCTGAAATCTTCAATGGGGAAAAAAAAATCAGGTCTTATTTACAGAACCTGCTTAGGGTTGCTTACAACCTACCGTGTGATGCTAGCAAACTCCAATCCAAGCACATCAGGACACTCTTTCTTTCTTTCTTTCTTTCTTTCTTTCTTTCTTTCTTTCTTTCTTTCTTTCTTTCTTTCTTTTTCTTTCTTTTCTTTTTTTCTTTCTTTTCTTTCTTTCTTTCTGAACTTACAAAGGTAAGAACCGCTAGCCACCTCCAGATCCCCACCGCATTTCTTTTCGATACTCCCCCCCACCCACCCCCCTGGAGGCGAGAAGGGGGTGGGTGGCTGAAATTAGTAGTTAGGGAAAGCTGGGTGGCGGGTGGGAAACAAGTTGGAGGGTAGAGTGGAGACTTCCTGGGAGGTGTAAAACAGGATTCCAACACGGTGTAAAGTGTCGCCGGCTCTGAGCGGGAAAACTCAGGGGCCTTTAGATTGGCTCGTTTTCCTTTGATGACTTCAAAAAGGTACAACCCTCTCGGTTTTTCTAAAATGCACTGGCCGGCAAACAGAATTGATCAACATTTCCACCTTCTCCAGGGCTGCTTTGAGACTCTAGGATTCTTTTTCTGATCTATTTGCTATGAGGGAAGCGAGTTAAGGCTAAAGAAAGAAGGGAACTTATTTATTTTTTTTTAAAGACGAGAAGTGTAATTTAGAGGTTCTCAGTAGTCTGGTCCGTCTCCCAACTCTCGCCGCCGAGGTTTGGAAATTGCAGTGAGCAGACCCCCACATATCCCCCCGCCCTGGGCGCTGCGCGCAGCCCCGCAAGAATCCGCTGCACGCTTAATTGGTTGCATCCGCAGACAAAACCCTCCACTCCACGGGGTCTCGGGCGCCCCTCGATCGTCCCCTCCGGTCCCCCGCGCCCCCTCCCACCCCAGACCCTCGCCCTGGAGAAGAGCCTTTCATGTCTGTAACTCTGAGGCTCCAGATCCTGGGGCAAAAGGGGGGACGGGGCGCCTGGCGAGGAAGTGACTCTGGTTACCATACACTCTCTGGGACACTCCTTCCAACGCGCCCGTGGCGGAGCCGGTTAACCCCGTCCGGTGCGGGCCTAGGTTTCCCGTTAGCCCCTTCCCGCGGCCGCCTCGGATTGAAATCCGCGCGGATTTAAAGATCCCTAAGAGCACTCGGCTGCGGGTCCCGGCGCGTTCGTTCTTTGTCGGAAGGGCGCGAGAAACCCAGGGCCACTGAGAACTCAGCGAGAGCACCCGGGGTTGGGGGTGGGGGGGGGGAGGCTGCGGCGCGCCAATCTCTTGCACCCCTCCCCCCGAAAAGGAGCAGAAAGAAGGGGGAGAAGGAGCCCTCCAACTCTCCGGGACTGCAGCTCCTTCACCCCCGCTCCGCCCGGACGCCCCTCCAATCCCCCCGGCGATTCCTTTCCCAGGCGCTCACAAAAGCGCCGGCGGACTTGGGCGTGTGGGACTCGGGTCGCTGGGCAGGCGGGCGGGCGGGCAGGCAGTCCCCCGGCGACCCCGCGCCACGCTGGGAATCGCACAATAGCGAAAGTCCGAGGACGCTCTGGCCGGACTGTAACCTCCCGCCAGCTCCCCGCAGCCGGCGGCGCCCCCCTCCCGACCCCGAGGGGCGCGGGCGCCCGGAGTCTGCAGGGCGCACTCATTGGAACTGGGTCTCCCGCCCACCCGCGCCGGCCCGCGGGCAGCGCTTGGCGGCCACAACCACTGGGCTCCCGCGCTCCGATCGCCTGGCGCACCGCATCCCGGGGACCCTCGTGGAGACCTCGGAGAGAAGGGGTGCGCTACCCCCCCCTCCAAACACACACACACACCACCACCGCCACCACCACGCCCGTGTACTGACTTGCTGCTGCTTCCTGGGTCGGCCGCGTCCCCGCTTCTGCGGCGCCGGGGCGGCAGGTTGTCCCTGCGCTGAAGTGGACGGCTGCCCGGCGCCTTCTCCGCGTGCGCTCATGCTGCCTCCCGCCGCCGCTACCGCCGCTGCAGCCGCTTCGCCTCCGCCGCCCCGAGGGTGCCCCGCGCACCTTTCGGGAGAAGGGGGTGAAAGGGCTGTGGAGACGCGGGCAATGGGAGGGTCGCGAGCCGGCGTGCTGCGGCGAAGGCTGCTTGGCTTAGGCGGCCGCCGCTGCCACCATCCACACCACCGGACGTCTGGCGGCTGCCAAAAAGAGAGAAGGAGAAGGAGAAAGGAGGAGGAGGAGGAGGCGCTGCCGGTGGTGGTGGTGGTGGTGGTGGTGGACGGGTGGATAGGTGGGTGGCGGAGGTGGAGGTTGGAAGCGGTGTTGGTGGAGGTGGCGAGAGGAGGAGGAGGAGGAGGAGGAGTAGGGAAGCAAGCGAGGCAGGAAAAGTGAGGCTGAAGTTGGCGAGGCTCCTGTCTGAGTTGGGGATCAGGAGTTGCGGGCACTGGGAGCACTTGGGCAGTGGCTGGGGAAAGGAAGGGACAGGGAGTGAATTGTGTCCCTTGAAATGTTAGGCGGGGAAAGAATTCCTCCTCCTCTTTCCTCCCACCCTTCTCCGCAGAGACAGAGAGAGAGAGAGAGAGAGAGAGGGAGAGAGAGAGAGAGAGAGAGAGAGAGAGAGAGGGAGAGAGACGCAAAGGGAGGGTGGGATCGGGTCGAGCAAGGCACCGAGCCGTGGGTGGCACGCGCCTCCTCGGGTGGCGGGAGCCGGTGGCGGCGGCACGGCGGAGTCGGGAGAGGACCGGGAGCTGGCTGCAGCGTCTTGCACGGAGCGCGCGCGCTCCCCGGGCTGGATGTGTTCTGAGTTCCTGCCCCCGCGGTTCCAGTGGGATGAGTGTGTGAGCTCGCGGAGGGGGTGGCGGGATCGAGTGCCCACCTCTAATCGTGGGCGGATAAAGGGGAGGGGGCTGCGCTAGAGGAAAAGTATGAGATGGAGGAGGGGGAGGAGGAGGGAGGAGGAGGAGGGAGGCCAGGCGGACCGCGGAGCCAAGGCGCCTGGCCTCGGGCCAGAGGCAGCGTTCGAAATACAAACTGCCTGGGCGGCGGCGGCGCCCGGGTGCCACTCGGAGCCCCGCTCACGTGCTTGTGGCCAGCCGGCTGGGTTAAAGGGACAGGACGGAGGATCTGGAGCTTCCTCCCCGCCAGGCTCGCCCCTCTGGCCGCTGGAGGTCACCCCAGGGCGGTTGTCCTGGGAAGGCGCGAGAATATGAATGCCTTAGTGCCACGTTTTTGCGGGGCTTGGTCTTTACCTGCGCCTCCACGGTGCGGAGCCAAACCTTTGTCGGAAGAGCGCAGGGCAGCCTCGGTGGCAGAGCTCCCCCAGACTGAGTGCGAACAGGATGGCGAGTGGTGGGAGCGCGCGCTCCTCACCGCCCGCCTCCCCCTGGGGTGCCCTCTCCACGGAGCGCGCGGCCGAGCGCGCACACACGCAGGAAACATGCACAAAGATACCCGCGCACACATACAGTTACACGCGCGCTTCCTTGCGCGCAGACACACGGCACACGGATAGGCATGCATTAGTGCAAACACATGCACACGCGCAAACAATGTGCACACGCGCACGTGGAGCGCGCCAGCTTCATTGAGATTCATCCTCTCTCTCTCTCTCTCTTTAACAAGGGGGCGACACGAAGTCTCCTGGAGCCTAGCGCTACACATTTGGGGTTCGGACGTTCACAGGAAAAAATAAATAAAAGGAGACAGAGATTCCTTATCTGTACAATTGTACCACCTGTCCCTTCCATTGTACCTTGATTGTACTCTCGCTGCCAAGTCCTAATCTTTATAGCTCGGGCTGTTGCAGAGTTATGCGAACACCTTCATGGCCACAGTCCATTTTTAAAGGTGGCGTACATTTTTAAATGTACCTCTTTTTCATCCTCCAAAAAGCACAAAACTCTCGGGGAGGAGGGAGGTTTAGATTTTCACACATCACAGCCGAAATTATTTTGGACTAATTCCAAAAATAAAAAAATGAAAAAAAAACTTTAGCCTGGGGAAGTATTTTTCTTTTCAACGATGCAGACCACCATGGATTTTTTTTTTTTTTTTAATTTTTTAAGCCTACTTCGCAGCCCTAAACCGGGAGTTCGGATCCGCCAGGTTCTGTCTGCCGGGCTGGTGGAGGAGGGAGCGTGTAAATGTCTGCTTCGGCGCGACGGCTCTGATTGGTCAGCGTTGCCATTTTAAATCCATTTCCAGCTCTTCTTTGCGGAGTTGGGATTCTCCGCTGCTCTGTGAGCGCCCTGCTGGAACTCAAGGTTGCCCGCGGGTCTGGGAACGCTTAGCTGCGAAGGAGACGGAGAACCCCCACCTCTCCAGATGGAGCCCAGCAGCTCCATGGGGAGGGAGGGAGGGGTCTAACTGGAACCAAAGGTTTTCCGTCAAGATTTGACTGAAAGATGCTATCTTCATCAAAGGGATTGAAATTTCACCTACTGACGATCGCAGAGACATTTCTTAACTGCCAAGTTTGCACACTTTTTAAAAATGTGATCACATGCTTGTGCTTTGGTGTGCACATTTCACTTACACGTACAAGAAGGGCTTCTCCGTTGGTTTTTGTTTGCTTACTTTTTGCCAGAAGTCAGAGATTAATTCTGAATGAAAGTCTAAGTCACCTAAGTTTTAGTCAGATAGTTTTTAGTTTTGTACTGAGGACCTCAATATTATGATCAGATCTTTCCTTTAAAAAAAAAAAATGCACGCGAGCCAGTAAAGGAATTTCAAAGCTTCATTTGTTTTGCCTTAACCCAGAATCTAAGAAAAATATAATAAGGGGGGGGGGCAGTCAGTTGTTTTCATGCTAATGTGCTCAGATTATTTGATCCTTTCCAAATATATAAAGGTTATAAAAAGAAATAGTGCATCAAAGTTTTATTCTTTGGAAGCTGTATTTAAGTTTTTCCAAGTTGCAATATATTTTCTGTGGACCATGCAGTCAAATCTGTTTTCATCTTGAAAATTACTGAGCATTTTACTATTTGAAACAATAACCTTCATATATTTTTCTTTCTATAATATAAAATCCTTAGATTTTTTTTCTAAGAAGTTCATATCTTTGAAAGATTTATATTCCCAAATTAAATTTCTCAATTATTTATTTCCTCTCTTTTGTTTTACTACCTATATTACCCATCCACACAAGGTTAAAAACTTCTAATTTGAGAAGTTCCAGGTGGTTTCTGTCCACATTAAGCTGCTCCTTTTCTTCTTCTGCACCTCCTATCAAATCGAACAATTAGCACCTTGGTTGTATATGTTAACAAGGTTTCTAATTATCTGTGACACATGATTTAGACTGGTGTTTAGAACAGGTCAGCTCATTAGTGGGTGGTAAAAATCAATTTAGTGGATCCAGAGCACCATTTTAAAAAATAAATAGAGCAGGATAAAAAAAAATATCCCATGTAAATGTTCTACTTTAGTTATATATTATATGTACATAAAAATTAAGTTTAGTATCTAAGAAATTGGGAAGCATCTTTTCTTTCCTTTTATTCTTTCCTTCCTTCCTGCCAGTCCTGGAACTTGAACTCAGACCCTGGGTGCTGTCCCTGAGCTTATTGCTCAAGGCTAGCATTCTGCCCCTTGGGCCACAGCTTCTTTTCCTGCTTTTGGTGGTAAGAGTCTCATGGACTTTCCTGCCTAGGCTGGCTTTGAATTAAGATCCTCAGATCTCAGCTTCCTGAGTAGCTAGGGTTACGGATATGAGCCACTGGCGCCCTGCTTAATAGCTTTCTTTAAGTGCTATTTTGTCTAGATTTGTATACTAGGCTTTTAGTAATTGCTAATTTATTTATTAACATGGCAAAGATATTTTTGATAAAGAAATGATTTTACAAAATGTAGCATACAGTATGACAAAAGCATTACATACACCAAAATACTTTCCAAATTCTTTTGAACAAAGGAAGATTTATTTGTGATGAAGAAGTTGAAGTCCTCACTGTATTTACCACATTATATTTACATTTCAATGTATTCATGAGTTTAAAAAATTAAGGATTTTCTCAAATTACAACTGAGTTATGGATTCATTTTATTTATTTTTCTTTCTTTTATGACAAAGGTTTACTATCACCAGGTGTTTTGAAAGTGAGTCTACATAGGTCACAAAGCGATAACTAACATTTATCAACCAGCTTTACTAATTTGGTTGTAATAAACAAAAGGCAGTGCGAAGTGAGGCTGTATAAATTTGGAGGCTACGTAAGACAAGAATAGGAGGACAGTACAACTAGTATCTGGATCTCAATCTCTGTCTCCCTGTTTCTCTCTCTCTCTCTGCACTACCCCTCACCTTTCCCCCCATTTTGGAATCCTTTAGCCAACATGTCACAAGAGACTTTGAAGCTACCATAGTGAGAACTCTGTGAGGAGAAAGCCATACAGAGGTAGTGTCAGAGTCAGAGAGAGAAAGAAGCTGTGCCAACTCTCACTAACAGATAAATGCGTGAACATTCAGATCATACTAGGTCCCTCCAATTCCTGCCTTTAAGCCAATCCTGGCTGATGGTGGAGCAGAGAAGAACGATCTTTTCCATGCTTATTCCAAATATAGATGAGTAAATATACATTGTTTTGACTTTTCAGGCCCTAAGATTTGAGATGGATTGTTAATAGATATCAAAGCTGCCCCACCATTTCTCCCTCAAAACTATTTTGTCTTTTTATTTAACTCATTCAAATGAATAACCCAAAGAATGGGAAAATAAAATAAAAATCTCAAGTAAGGGGTTACCTGGAAATCAAACAACCGGGAATTACTCTGGGTCTTTGTAGGTCCTAAGCCCCTCCTTTCCTGCCTTCTAGACAATTCTTACATTGTCTTTCAGTCATTTCTGTGATCTGGGGGGGGGGGGGGGGAGTGTCTCACAATGGGATTACTTCTAGCCTCCAGCCCAACTGACATTTCTAAAATTTATTTTCCACTCTAGAAACAATTTCCATTTCTAGGAGAATCCATAGTTTATCAGGTTTTTTTTTTTTG